TCTCCCAATTAAATTAATTAGGAACCCAATAAAAGGGGATAATCGAAATCGGGGCGTTACAGTGTCACTAACTCAAACTTCACCAATTGCTCTCAAACTTCCCAGAATCCATCTCCTACTTGTCTCTAACCATTCTAACCTAACAATTCTACCTAATTATGCTTAAATCATGGTGTAGAGGAAAAGTTACAAACCTGTCAAATATTGAATATCAGATAGGTCAAAGCTCCACTTCAACCTCTCAAACTCTTCAGAATCCTTCCTTGATTGATGATAAAGCTTTTGTTTGCCAAAGATTTGATCAAGAAAGCCTGAATCTCCAAACTCGATGGTGACTTGCAGCTGCCAAAATCCAAGTGCCAACTCTTTAATTCTTCATGATCTTGCCCTCAAATTGGTATGCACACATTCAGTGTGATCAATGGAAGGTGTTGGGATTGAAAGAAGAAATGGAAATGAAGCAGAATGTAGAATTTGATTTCAACTTGCAATGGAAGCAATTGAAATGGCTATCTCACTCTCCTCTCTAATCTCTCACCAACCTTGCATCTGAGCAAGTTCTAAACACTATATAGGATGGTTCAGACCCATCCAGAACTTTCTGGAATCATCCAATGAGAATTTGGGATTCTCATGCCATGAGTTTTTGATTTCATCTCATCTCACATGCCATCTCATGCTATGCTTCTTGTAGCAACTTGTTCTGACCTGAAAATATCCTTAGATGAGATATATGATGTGTTAAGATACTTAGCTAGCTTGTACATTGCCTTTCCTTGTGTTTTGCATTTGTACCTTAAGATGCAAGCAACCATTTTCCAAAGCAAGTCCATGATCTAAACCTCAACTCAAAAATGTGGCTGAACCATTGTTTCTAAAATGTTCTTTGGAGTCAAAATGACCTATTACATGCCATGGTTTGGATGTGTAACTTGGAAATTTCAATTTCCAACTTTGACTTATTTAACTTATGCCTCCATTTTAGGTCATTTTTATCACTCTGAGCTACAAGTCTTTTCAACATCTCATGACATCCTTTCTAGCCTTAAAACATCATTTTAATCAAGTTTGATGTTGAATATTTTTCCATTTGAAGCTTGGAAATAGGAGTTATGGCCTTATGCTTGAAATGACCTATAATCTCAAAATGACCAAAATGCCCTTGACTTATCAAAGCCATAACTTGAGTTCTACAAATACTATCATGGACTTCTAGTACTCTCTAGAAAGCTAAGAAGAACAACATTCATGTTGACCAAAAGTTCATAGGAATCATCCTTCTTGGGCAAAAGTTGGATGCAAGTTGGGTGACTTTCAAGGCCCCAGATTCACATACCTCATATGACCTGTAACTTGTCAAAGTCATAACTTGAGCTCTACAAATCCTATCAAGGACTTATAGTACTCAAATTAAAGCTAAGAGCAAGCTCTACAACATTCATGTTGGGGGTAAGATGAGATGACAATCACATCTTGAGCTAAACTGCCTTGAAGATAGGGGTCAAACTAGGGGATATTACACTGTCAAGCCTTAGAAACCCTAGCTTGAAACTTCTCAAACTCCTCAATCATGATGAGTTGACCTTGGAATCATCCTTATAGCATCTCAATGCATCAATCCATGATCACATGGCTCTTGAATTAGGTCTCAACCTTCTCCAAATCATCAGTTGACCTAGGGTTGACTCAGTCAAACCCTAATTATACCACTCATGGCTGAGTCTTCTTATTCTTGCACAGTGACCTCTCTAGGATTCATGATGGCTTTCAAGACATCTAATAAGCTCTCTCAAGGCTTCAAGCCCATCCTCATAGCTTCAGAATCATCTGAGGAGCTCCCACAACTCTCAAGTTAGGAGGCACACAACCTTGGTTTCAACTAATCTCTCTGAGGATCTCTTAACTTCTCTTACAAAGATATAAACCCTTGAACACTTGAATAACCCTCTTGGATAGCTTCAAAATCTTGTGTAGCTCTTGATTGGTAATCATACCTCTTGATCTCCTGCATACATGTCAATGAAATGCAGATGATAATGCTGATGTGAATGAGATGAACCACAAGCTAGGTAAAGAAATGTTGGTCAAATTTTGGGGTGCAACAGTTGCCCCTATTCAAACGGCTTGAACCTGACTGGGTGAGAAGCGAACGACTCTCAACCAATCAAGGTGCGAGATGGTTGAATACCGACAAACCCGGAAATTTGCCAACTGCACAAGTACACGGTACTCTGATGGGAACAAATCTTTGAAAACTGAAATATTAGCTGCACGGCAACTAGCTGGGGGATTGGTCACACGGTAACCGGTAATACATGGTCGATCATGCCGTCAGGCATCCAAAGAAAACTTCCGGGCATCAGCCGGACTTCATCAGCAAGTCGGGAATAGAATTCTCGGTCAATCATGAACCAATTGGGGATGTCCAAACTTCTGCCATCAGGCACTCCGCATCAGCTGAGAGAACTGCTTCGTTAACACGGTCGGACTTCAATCATCAAGTCTTCAGGGGGAAGTTTCAACTTCGCTGTTCAGAAACCTATTAGGGATGACACACCTCCGCTGGGGATTCTGGAGAACTATCAAGCAACTCTGCTTCGGGGATCCTGGAATCATTCTGGATGAATCAACTCTGCTGAGGACTTCAAGAATCATCTTGGACAAATAACTCCGTCGGGGACTTCAAGAATCATCCCGAACCGATAACCATGCTGGAGATTTCAGGAATCATCCTGAGAAAACACTCTGATGGGGACTCTAAGCATCAACTTGAGCAACCAACTCTGGCGACAGCACTGGGGAATTCAAGAATCATCTTGAGCAAACGACCTTGTTGGGGAATTCAAGAATCATCTTGAGCAAACGACTTCGTTGGGGAGAATTCAAGAATCATCTTGAGCAATCAATCCTGCGGCGGAACACCTGCAAAACAAGAACGGTAACAACCTAGATCCTGCTTATTATGCATATGCTTCGGCAATGGCGCAATGCTCCACACGGTGGAAATGCTATGCGTTTATGATAAATGCTATGCAGTCATGCAAAATGATGCGATCCCATCAGCAAAATAAATGCTGAAGGGAGAATCCTCCTGTCAAGGAGAAAGAACCACTCAGATAGGGGGAAGGAATCATCCTGCTGAGGAGAACAAGGTCACGCCAATCTCAATTGGACTCCGCAGGGGAAACAAACTTCAGTTGACTGCTGCAGGGGGACGAAGCTCTACGAGAACCTGGACCTGCTGAGGAAAAGCGATGTCAATCGCGGGAATAAACTGCACGGCCCTCACGGCTACTTCCCTGGAGATAACGACTCTGGTGGGAAAACACAGCATCAACTATTCAACACTATACTGGGGAAAACCAATCATGGTCTGAGCGGCTTCCAAGGACTCGACTCTCTTGGGGATCTGCAAACTCGGCTGAGGAAGAAGAAATCATTCTGCTTGCAGGGGAGAGTACGACTCTATGGGGGAATTTCAATCCCGCTGGAGACTTCAGTCTTGAACCATCAATTGCTGCACACTTCAGTGAATCAGCTGGGGAGACAACATTCCTTCAGGATGCATCTGATTGGGGAGAGAGTCTTCTCTGCCTGGGGAGACATATCAATACTCACGATCTCGTTCGGACTCTGTGGGGAGAGGCTGCTGAACTTCGCTGGAGAGGGAGGAATCATCCTGCTTGGGGATACGCACGACGCACTGTCTGGAATATGCTACACCTGTAACAACACAAACAAACAGACAAGATACCCTTCTCAAAGGGACCTATCAAGGTTATCATCTTGTGACAATGTTCAAGTAATTCAATGTTTCAACAATCAGTGGCCTAGGCTAGTAAGTTTATGTATGCGCATTTTATCAAAAACATCGACGTTCTTTTTCGCAAACAAAACAGATAAATGCTAAACAGGCAAACAAAATTGCTGAATAGTATACATTTTATTGATAACGAACCCCTGAATGGGTAAAAATGTTTTATAACAGATGCAAGCTCCTGGAATGAGGAAGCCGCGCAAAATAAAACATAAATATACATTAGTATATACAAATGTCGGTAACGAGGCGTAGACGAACACCATGAGTTGATCCCTCTATGACCCACTCGACTTTGATACTTCTCCGACGCTTCAGCTTCAGAAGAGATTGATTCAGATAAACGGCCCTCAGGTCTTCCAAACCACTAAACAATGAAAGTCCATACGCGGAACACAGTCATTTGCTTTTTCAAATCCCTAACTTTTGCGTGAACCGCCTGTCATACCCCAAATTTGTCCTAACTTTTTTTCAAAATTTCTCATTTGCCCGACTTTGTTTTTAATTTACCTCGCTTATACAGCGTAGCGTATTTTTCAGCAAAAGCAGGCATTTTCTTTTTAGCCCAATAAATTTGCACCACATGGCATCCTTTTATTTATTATTATTTATGTTTTAACATTTTTATTATTAATTAGTTAAAATAGGATAGAATTATAATTATTTATTTATTTATTTATTTATTAGAATAGAATTTGTTTTTTTATTAATCAAATTAGAATTAGTTTTATTTAATTAATTAACATAGAAAATAGATTTATTAAAATTAAAAGAAATTTAATTTAAGAAAAAGAAAATTGAAAGAATGAAAACACGGTAGATTTGGAATTAGGTTTAGTTCTTTTGGGATTATATAAGTTACTGTTCACAGACCCTAGGATGAGGATACACTGTTCACTCTAACCCTAAAGAATAGCGGCTGCCCCTAAGTTTGAAGGGCAACCCTAAAGAAAAAACCCCATCCCCAAATCGGCGCCGCTCACCCTCGTCGCACCACCATCCCTTCATCTTCTCCCTCCGAAACCATTCTCCTCTCATTTTTTCTCCTCACGCAAGTGCTCTCTCTCTCTCTCTCTCTCTCTGCTTCGTCTTCATTTCTCTGTTGTTTTTCCTTTTTCTGTTCTTTCTTTTGCTACTTTTATCTCTTCTCTCCCTCTTGTCAGACACCCTTTGACCCAATAACATGCTAGTGGCATTGCTGTTGCTGGTACTGGCATTGAGCAATGGAGTGAGAGTGAATGGTGAAAGAGGTGGTAGGCAATGTGGGGTGAATCCGTCGCTAAAGCCTAGGCCACATAGTGTCTCTATTTTGGAGTTTGGTGCGGTGGGAGATGGTAAAACATTGAACACTCTTGCATTTCAGAATGCCATTTTCTATCTCAAGTCATTTGCTGACAAAGGTGGTGCTCAACTGTATGTACCACCTGGAACATGGCTTACTCAAAGTTTCAATCTCACTAGCCATCTTACCCTCTTTTTGGAAAAAGGTGCTGTCATTGTTGGATCTCAGGATTCCCATCACTGGGAAGTTGTTGATCCTTTACCGTCATATGGTCGAGGACTTGAAGTTCCTGGAGGAAGATATCAGAGCTTGATAAATGGGTATAAGTTACAAGATGTAGTCATAACAGGTAATAATGGAACCATTGATGGCATGGGATTGACTTAGTGGGAATCATTTAAATCTCATTCCTTGAACTACGGCCGTCCTCATCTGGTTGAATTAGTGGCATCTAATGATGTAGTAGTTTCAAATCTTACATTCTTGAATGCCCCTGCATATAACATTCACCCGGTTTATTGCAGCAATGTACATATTCATAATATCTCAATCTTTGCTCCTCCGGAATCCCCTTATACTGTTGGAATAGTACCAGATTCTTCTGACCATGTTTACATAGAGGATTGTTCCATTGCCACTGGTTATGATGTGTCGCTACTGCGAAAATCGGCGCCGGCTGACAGAAGAGTCGCCACCGTGCGTTATTTATCCCTCAGAGCGGGAAAGGAAACGCTCGAAGTAAACCTCGCAAAAAACGGGGAAAGGTATGGTCATCGCAACCAAAACCTGGGTTCGGGAGTCGGTTACGCAAGGGGAAGGTATTAGCACCCCTCACATCCGTCGTACTCGACGGGATCCACGCTTGCTTGGGTTGTCTACTGGATGCAAAACAACCTATCTACGGCTGCTAAATCTAAACGGAAGGGAAATTGACTCGATAGAGCGTCGCACTCTATGCCTACGTATTCTCAAGAGAGAAAGTCAGAGTCAACGTAGTTCGGGACTACAGGGAAAATTGGCTCGCCAAGACCTCGCGTCTTGTGCCTACGTACTTCCACTGCGTGGAAGATCAGAGCTTTACGTAGTTCAGACTAACTACGGCTAAACAAACATTCTCACACAGCAGTGAGAAAAACAACTGGTTTCATAGGGTCGGGAACCTATGGGCAAAACTATGGTTTGGTCTCAAATGCACTCGGGCAAGAGAGAAAAAGGGTTACGATTAGTCGTCAGCGGAAAAAGTCTCGATCGCACAGCCGCGAGAGGACGAAAGTTAGTCGTTAGTGTGCTTGCTAGGATATCGCATCCTATGCCTACATATCCTCGTCTGGTACGAGGAATCAGAGCAGCTGTAGTTCGGCTACTTCGGGACCACAGCTCAAATCTCGTTTTGTTAATCTCTGAAAAATGGTTACAATGCTGGCATACTGAAAAATCATCTCCTAGGAAACGCTATCCTATTCTATCCTGAAAAATCGAATGAAAAATAGCCCCCTAACAAATGGGCTTCTAAAACTATCTCTAAAATCGGAAAATAATCTCTATGAGAATATACCCTAAAAGAAAATGAACTTTAAAAAATATTAAACCTACTTTAATATTTTTTCCTTCTTTTCCAATCATTTTCTCACATATTTTTCTCTATATTTTCAACATATTTTTCTAATATTTCTTTTCCACAAATATTTTCTCAATATTTTTTCTCATGTATTTTCTCCTCTTTTTTCATATTCTTTTCTTCTATTTTTTTTCAAAATCTTTAAAAGAATAAAAATAAAAAAATACAAGAAAAGGGGAGGGGGGTGTAACTGGTACAAGGGGATTATGTAAGTAAATAAAATAACAGCAATGCAGGCCCAGCCCAATAACTGGCTTCAGCCAGAAAAAACGTGGGAGGGGGTGTATGAGTGAATCTGGGAGTGTTGAGAAACGCTGGGCTCAGCCCAGAATTCGTCCAAAAACGTGAGGGGGGTGTTGACCAAAAAATTGATTGGGCCTGAGGCCCAAGACCCAACCTTCTCCTCCCTCTCTTCACTCTCAGTTTCTGAAACCCTAGAATGTTCCTCCTCCTTCTTCCTAAATCTTACCGCCGCCGCCCACCTCCGTTCTCTCAATCGTTCAATTCTCCACCACTTCCGTTCATCCTTTGAGCCTATCAACATCTTTCCCTCTCTCCATTCAAACAGAAGAACAACAATAGAAATTATGAAAGCTTGTTGAAGATGAATTATGTTCTTGATGATAAACAATTGGTTGCCTGTTGGATGAACGTTGACGATTCTTGGTGCTCGTTGATGAATCTGAAGACAGATGAACACCTTGAGCTCGTATTGCTGGCGATTCGCTCTTGAAGTTCTGTAGAACGATGAAGACGGATGATCTTTTGGAGTTTTGTGAACTTGATGAAGTTCGCTAAACTTCTGAGGAAACTTGACGAAGATGATTGCTGGTGGTGCGATGAAGATTTGTTCTTCGTGAAGATCTTGTTTGAAGGCGCGATGAGCAATCTGGGAAGCTCTGGTTAATTTGAGGATTCATCCTTGATGAACCTGAAGAAGTGCCAGTGAACATGATGAAGACGAAAGCTGATGGAGGTAGTTGAAGGTTCATTGACGAACGGTTTGTTGTTGACGTGATCTTCTGGAGATGAGGATCGGAGGTTGGTTGATGATGATGAAGTTTGAGGGTTTTTTCTGGGAATCTGATCTTGAAGATGATGAATGTGGAGATCAGGAAGGTTGTTTGTTGAACGGAGTTCTGGGATTCTTGATGAAGAATCTGTTCTTCCTGGAAATTTGTTGAACGGAGATCTGGAGGTTGGTGATCGGAGATGGATGAAGGATAATCGGAGATCTGGGTTTGTTGGTGGATTTGATTTTTCCGACGGTATTGGTGGTGGTTTCTGGATTGGTTGAAGGAACTTGAAGACGGTGATTTCTGGGATGTTTCTGGGTTGAGGGTGATGAAGATGGAGGTTGCAGGTTGGCCGGAATCTGGAATTTTTCTGGGTGTTTGTGGATTTCCGGTGAGCTGCGGTGGCCGCCGGCCATGCATGTCGGCCGGTGGCTGACTCAGGCGAAGACTGGAGGAGCGTTGGGGGACGAACGCGTGGTGAGGGATGGTGGAGTGGGAGAGTGCATGGTGGACGCGTGTCCCCATGCGTGGCAGAGAGAGAGGAGAATGGAGCTGTGAGGTGGCGTGGATGTGAAGAAAAACGTGGGGCCATCCTCCTTCTCACACGTGTACTGACTGAAGCTTTATAGCTGAGAAGCTCTGGACGCTTCTGGAAGAATCTGGAAAATACTGGACTTTTTTGGACAATTTCTGAATTGCAAACTGGACAAAAAACATGCATTGGGCCTGTGAAAAGCCCACACGAAAATGAAAAAAAACTCACAAAAAGCTGCATAATTATGGTTAATGAAAAATGAATTAAATCCCTAATTAACTAGCTAATCTGATTATTATTCTAATTAATTCTAAAAACTCCTAATAAATTCTAAAAAACTATATTATTTATTTAAATTCTATAAAAGAAAAACCTATTTATTTCTATAAAAGAAAAACAAAACTATATTCCTTATATCTAAAATTAAATTCAAAAACTCAATTAATATTCTAGAAAAATCTATATTATCCTAAAAAAACTATTAAATCCTAAAATGATTAAAACCTATTAAAAATACTAAAAATCCTATTAATATTCTAGAAAATGCTAAAAAATGATTTAAAAGCTATTAAACCCTAAAAAATAACCAATAAAATCCAGAAAAATCACAATAATTCCCAGAGGAACAAAATAAGCACCGAAATAGCCGGTAAAAATAAACGGGCACTGAAATATCCCAAAAATCGATTCTACCTAGTAAAACTGATTAAAAAACACCTGAAACACGAGACGAGAGCTGTGATCCCAATAAAATCAAAACAAATGAAAATATGCAATGTATGCAATATGCAGATGCGAATGCGATTATGCGTCGAAACATAGGACCAAATACGAGACCCGGTTGGTCAAATTTTAGGGTGCAACAGCTGCCCCTATTCAAGCGGCTTCGACCTGAATGGGTGAAGAGCGCTCAGCCTTCAAACATTCAAGGTAGATGACGGTTGAATACAAATGAAACCCTGAAATTTGCCAACCGCAAGAATATACTGCAAAGCTGCTTGAGGAATAGCTTCCAATAAACTGAAGTTTGGTTGTCACGACCACAACTGATCAATTTTCTGATAAATTTTCTTCTCCTTTTCAACACCTGTGTAACGCCACAAGTATTGAAATAATGCTTCGGAAAAGCAAACGACTTGATTCCCATCTCTCTCATGGGATCAAATCCGGTCAACTCACAGTTCACTGCGAACTTGAGGACAATTCTCCTGGGGGAATTCTGAATGGAACTGCTTGGCACCTATTCGGATGAAGGCGGCAGCTTCAGAAGTCTGATATATGTCAATCTCTATTGTTGTCGTTGTTTTTTTTTTCGATGCTGATGTAACAACCAAATGAAGAATCACTTCGCTGGGGAAGTCGAGAAGCTGAACCAAACAACTCTGCAGGTGAACAAATTCGAAATCCAATAGGTAACCATTCTGGTCCATGTTTCGACATGCGTATGCTTGATAATGATGCAATATCCTATATGATGTGTAAATGCTATACGCTCTGTTTGAAAATGCGAGGCCTAGACGGCCTGGAAATGTCATATGTTCGTATAAATGCTATGACTATACATGCAAGTGCTAATGCAAGCTCGAGCTGCCAGAGAACACCAGGTCTGAAAACCACTTGGCAAAATAAATGCCGAAGGTAACGCCAACTCTACTGGGGATGAACTGAAGTCACAGGATCATCTCAGCAAAATAAATGCTGGAAACGGGAAATCAAATCCGCTGGGGATGAACGTCCTGCTGGAGAAATGAAAAGGAAACCCTGCTTGGCGACTTCACTGGGGAAAGAAAACAACTCTACTTGGGGATGCTCCCTTCAAACTATTGGCGACTGATTGTACTCTGCGGGGATTGACCCATACTGAGGTTGATTGCGCGCGGCACACTGCTGGAAATGCCCCTACTATCAAGGATGTCGATCTTAATCTGCTGAGGATACTCCTGATCCTACTCTGATATGGGGTAAAATACAATCTCGACTCTTCCGGGGGTAATACGCAACTTTCATCTGCTGACGAGTAGCAATTCTGATTTAACAACATCCACAAGGAATTCAAACATTACTCGGAGCGTTGGCATCCGTCGAGCTTCGTATCGGGGAACATGACAACATGCGGGTCATTGGGAAATACTGTGTCAGATACCTTTAGGTTTTTTTGTTTGGTTTAGGATAAACATGGACTATGTACACAGTGGAAGATATGAAAAATACTAGACGA